AATATTTCCCCAGATATCCAGTTAGTGTTCTGTTTCCCCACTTGTCTCGGACACTATTTTTATAGTTTCTCTTCCAAATTGGGATATAAATAAAATCCATACGTTGCTTAATATTTTAAAACCCCTCCCCCTCTATTTATTTTTCCTTGAAGTTTATTTGTGAAAGAAACAAGTCATTTTTCCTCTGCATTTGAAAAGAAGAGTAGCGAAGTTCCAGATTACTAAGACCATTTTGAAATTGTGATGAAATGTTCTACATGAAAAAATGGTGTTTTGAGAGAAATGTGTTTCACGTATTTAATGAAAAGTCAGTCACCTTCTCATTGAGGCCCTGCCTGGCGACCCTGTGGGTAATTCCACCATCTCCCAAGCCCTCAGTGCTTTACAGCCTCCTTTCCTCTTTTATTTTTCCTCCTGGACACCCAGCACCGCCTTATTGGATCTGTATGGGTGCATTTCACTCGTGTGCTGCCGGCCTCCCCTCTAGAACACAAGCTCCATGAAGGCGGGGTTTGTGAGTTCTCTCTCTGCTGTATCCCCAGCACCTGGGTAAAGGAGTGAGGAACTGTGAAGGCAGGGCAGCAACCGGGGGAGGGGGGCTGTGTGGACGGATGAGGGGCAGAGGGACGCAGAGTGGAACGGAAATCTCTGCTTGTACATCCCCTTTTTGATTTCTGGTGTCTGTCAGAACCAGAGACCATGTGAATTTCTGTGAGAAGCTCAGACAGCGAGCCTCATTTGCATGTCACGCCCCGCGGTAGAGGGGCTTCTCTGCAGCTGCTGCCTCAGCACGTTGGCCTGTACACCCCGCTGCAGGCTCCGGCCCCCTCAGCTGCAGGCCAGTTTGGCCAGCTTTATCGGCAGAGCCTGTGCTGGCTGGGGCGGGAGGCCGGTTCCTGCAAACCATTACCCACGGTGTGCTCGGGTGCTCCCAGCAAGGGTGGTCGTCTTCAACAGTTTATCTTGGTTCGAAACAGCTCTCCCCACCTTTCTTGCGGTTGGACTGCAGTCAGGCTGGGAAACAAGGTGCTGTCCTCGAATGCAGTGACCGAAACCTGAGTGAGTCACCCTGTGCTCGTAGCCAGCAGTGTGGCCTCAGCCAGGTCCCTCCACGGTGCCTGTAGAGTGGGGACAGCACCCTGTCACTCCTGCAGGGTTGTTATGAGCTCTTGTTGTTGCGAGTTTTCCCTGCTGTCCAGCGAGGCAGGGATTTTAGCACAAACCCTGCAGTCAGGCTACAAGGGAAGGCAGCGTTCTGGGCGCTCTGGCTGAGGCTGGGGTTGCAGGGGCGGAGGGGACTCAGGCCGTACCTCTCCTCTGGGCCTGGCAAGGCCCGAGCCTGGTCGGGGAGGGTGTGTGGCTGAATCTTGGGGCCCCCTCACCTGCTTTGGGGGTAGGGAGAGGAGGTGCATTTCGGCTGATTTAGCTGAGTGGCGATGACAGGGCTTGTCGCCCTGTCCCTCCCTGCCTGGGGCCTGGGCAACCCCAACAGGGAGACTTGGAGCAGAACGAGGGACAGGAGGCGCCACGCTGTGCTGACTGTGTTCCAGGGCATTGTTTTAAGAGCATTTCTAGCTTTGGTTGTGAGGTTCTTGCCACATTAACAGGGTGTGTCACCGGAACAACTCATCCTTGTTCCTAGAACCCCGTTTGTAGCCTGGACACGTGTGCTTTCCCGGTAAGATGTGAGGCGTCCTGTGACAGGAGTGCTCGGCGGTGATAAGGATTCCAGCCGGTCCCGCCATCTGTTGTCCCACTGGCCCCTGGGGAACCACGTTTGCGTCCCCACGGATGGCATCGTGTGCCTATTTCTCGTGGGCAGAGGTTATGATTTTTACTACTGCTGATACCAGACCAGTAGATTTAGAATGCTTTCTGGGCTCTGTGAAATCCAGAGAGGACCCCTGATGTTTCATTCTTTTGTTTTCACTTTTTAGATGTGTCCTGTCAGATACGGCAGCCACTTGCCGTAGCTGGCTATTTCAGTTTAAATTCACATTAGTTAAATTTAAGTAAAAATTTAAATCCAGTTCCTCAGTCACACCAGCCACATTTCAGAAGCTCAGTTGGCACGTGGGGCTGGTGGCCCCTGTACTAGATGGAATGTTTCCGTCATGGCAGAAAGTTCTAGTGAGCAGCACCTAAGCGTTCCTGCTCAGAGGTTGATGAGCGTGGGGAGGGAACTTCAGAGCACCCAGGAGAAAGCTAAGTGGCAAACGATAAGAAACTAAGCCTATTGCAAATTTTATTTCATGTTCTGCTCGTGGTAAAACGCTTCTCCAAGTAAATACTTAGGGGACACTTGAGATTCCCTGTGTTGACACCTTCCGTTAGATGGTTCTCAATGATTCAGTCACTCATCACCGTTTAGCACATTGTAGAGACGCAAGTTACCTACTGCTTAGCCAGGGAGTGGCTTGTTCCCACCCCGACTCTCTGCTTTGCTGGGAGGGCCCTATGGGGAAAGTGTGAGATGAGAAACTCTCAGAGCAGTTTGTATCTTGTGAGTTAGTGGAAAAGAAAGTTCTTGTCACACACTCTTGGTTTGCCATTTGTGATTCTACTAAAAGAAACAAAAAGAAACCCTTGGATGAAATAGGCGCTTTTTAAGAGTGTCGACCGCAGGCTTTTCTGTTCTCCCTGGTGAGGTCTCAGTGGCAGGGCCAGGAGTAGGTGAGGCAAGGGAGGCGGGCGCCCAGGGCACAGATTTAGGGAAAGTCAGGCTCAGGTGCCAACCTTGTATTTGCATAGACCCAAGAGTGAGTGTCCCCTTAAATTTTGCATCCTGAGCTCCTGGCTTGCCTCACCCTGGTCCCACCCAGGTGGGCTCTCTGAGCCCATTGACCGCTCACTCTCACAGGCTGGCTGTGTGGTTCCAGGGATTCTGGCCTTGTAGACGGCTCTTTGAGCACATGCAGCCTCGTACCACGTCTGCACCTCTCCCCTAGCCAAAACCCCTCATGTACAAGCTGAATCTCTTTGCTCTTTGTATACCTGGCTCAAAGTGGAGCACAAATAACTGGGCAGTGGATCAGTGAGCAAATCAGCCCTTCAGGGATCAAGTCGATGAATGAAAGAGACAAGAACTCCTGACTTAGACTTTTCTATTAACAGTCCTTCATTGTCACCTGCCAAGCTCCACATCTCAGCACAGCCGAGCTCCCTGTGCCCAAGGGGACACCGGGCATCCTCTCACCAGCGTGCCTGTGGGAGGGCACTGTTCCCCCCCACCTGCCCCAGGATTCCGTCACCCTCAGCGTCTGGCCCGGCTGAGTTACCGCCCTAGAAACCTCAGTCTCTGAGGATGGCTCTCCCTCTCTCCCCGCTCCACCCCTGCTTCCTCCAGAGCCTGTGTCTTCGCACCTCGGCCAGACTGTCCTAGGAGCACTCGGCTGGGTCTGGCATCATGCTTTCGGGAGGAACAGGGTAAGGAGGCAACGGCTGTGTTCATGCTTCCCCTTTCTCCCTCCCACAGAGCGTGCTGAAGAAGCGGGACCAAGTGCAAGCAGAGTACGAAGCCAAACTGGAAGCCGTGGCCGTGAGGAAGGAAGAACGGCCCAAGGTCAGGGGAGCCGCCTGCAGAGGGCGGGCTGCGCCGGGCGGGCGGAGGGTGGTGCCAACCTGCTGCTGCCCAGTGAATCTGTGACCGTGACTGAGGGGGTCAGAGCCAGCTGGGCGGGGCTGATGCCGGTCTCCTCTTTTTGCTCCCTTTTATGCCGTTATAATGTGTACTTGGGGGTGAGTTTCCTGCTGTTTCCTGGGGTGTTTTTGGTTTTTGTTTGTTTTTTAAGATTTCCAGCCCTGCCGTTCATCCTCAGTTCCTGTCTCTCTAAGTTGGGACTGGGGAGGAAAGGGAAGAGCAGTCTAGTCAGTGTTCTCGAAGGGTGCTGTGTGACTGTTACCAGCCCGTGATGAGAAAGGCCTAGGTGCTGAGGGAGCACTTTCACAGCAATGTGATACTCGTTGAGCATGCAAGATGAGAGTCGTCAAGCTAGCGTGGGAGTTGTGTGGCGCAAGCTGGGTCCTGGCTATGCGTAGGGGGACTCCAGCATGGTTGGACTGGGCAAACAAGCCAACAAAAAGTGGCCCTTTGCCAGGAAGTTCGAGAAGCCCTGGTCTAGCTGGTTCCTTCCTGATGCTCTCCAGCTCCAGCTCTGGGTCTGGACAGAGGATCACAGCTGTAAAAATGTGGCTGTCTTATTCATCACTCTCATACGTTGCCCTTCCCTCCCCCAAGCCAGGATTAAAAACTGAAGTATTAATAGCCAACAAGCAAGTGCTTACAAAGTGCTAAGCTCTTTATGTTACCTCAGTTATTCCAAATAATCGTGTGGTTTAGGTGCCATGATTATTCCCATTTGTGAGATGAGGACACAGAGCCCAAGACCGCACAGCCAGCAAGTGGCGGGGCCGGAATTGCATCCTGCAGCCGGACGTCAGAGCCCTGCCGGCCACCACTCTGTTACTCTGCTTCTTTTTGATTGTGGTTGGAAGGTGTGTTATTAGGGATGTTATCAGCAAGATAAATAGCTGGGGCCCAGGGTTCAGGGAAGTAGTTTGACACCAGAACTCTTGGTCTGTCTTCCTCCACCTTGGTTCTCGCAGCCGCCTCCGCTCTGCCAAAATGTACCGAATGGAACCAGCTTTGGGAATGTGGAACCCAAATCTCAGAAGTGGCACAGCTTGATTCTCTGTAGCACTGTTTTATATTAACTGTTCACATGATCGCGACAGCAGTCACCTGAGGCCCGAGGGGGCAGCATTGTTCTTTCCCCATTTCTTGGGTGAGGAAATGAGGCACAAAGTAGCCCAGTAAATCGCCCAGCTTGGTTGGTACCAAATGTCTTCATCTTACGTGCTGGACGCCACCTGCTGAGCCCACGTCTCAGTCTCATTAAAGGAATGACATGGAATACTGTGCTTATATATTTTAAAAAAATTCATTCTAACAATTTAACTTCCAGGTATAAAAAGAGAAGCCACTTTTCCTGGCTAGGGAGGGAAGGAGAGACAGCGGGTTCTACCCCTAGCCTCGTTTGGAAGCTGAGGATCCTGTACTTAAAAGATGTCGCTGAGATAGACCTCTCGGCATTCGTACCTGCTCAGCACTGAGCGCAAGCTTTCCCAGCAGCTGGTTTTGTCATTTAGTGTATGTTCAGCCCTACATGGGATGGTTCCTTTCCAAAGACAGGAGCTGAAGGTTATGAATTACTAGGCTGAGTTAAATATGCCCTGGATTGCTGGCTGCCAGAAGGTCACACCACCCCGGAGCAGATGGAGCAGAGGAAACAGCTGTTTCTGGCTCCTGAGTTCCACCCCGCTGAGCTGTGGGGGCTCCCACCTCCTGCGCTGTCCTTCCTGCTGGCTGGGTGACTTCTCCTCCCAGTTGGTGTGGAAATCTTCCTACTGCTGCTTTTCTCAGCTCCCTGGAGCATCACTTACCTGTACAACTCATTCTCTTGGCCACAAGATCTCTTACAAGAGGGAGAAGGATTTCTTTCCAGCCAGTGAGACCAAGCAGTGGATTCCAAACATGCCCGCATTCTCTTAGCACGCCACAGGGAGGCAGCGTTTGTCTGCACTCCTTCTGGTGGGATGCTGCGCCATGCCAGCGTTAACTTCGCTATTTGTTTAGCAGCTGTGATATTTAACAACAAAAATGGAGCTGTCATGATGGTGGTACCGTGAGTGTGCTGTAACGGTGGGGGCAGCAGAAATCGTGCCACCAGTCTGGGGCAACAGCTGCTTCAGCGGGCAAAGGAGGGCTCGGTTGGCAGCCTGTCCAAGTCGACCATGGTTTGGTAGACAGAGCACAGGATTTAGAATCAAATGGCCCTGGGTTTGGATCTCAGCTCTGTCCCCCAGCTTGGGCTGGTTTGCTCATTAGCCTTTGTGGGATTTGTGCTCGTGATTGCTCCAAAGATGTAAAGATCTGTGTCTGATGTAGCACAGACGCTTCATTGGTG